AGGGTTTAGGGCTTAGGGCTTAGATCCTAATCCAGATCCCTGATCAATACCTCGATAGACACCGTTTCTCTTACTGAAGAACCGAAGAGCGATCCGAGGATTGGGGCTTTGAAGCCGGTGTCTACTAACCAGGGTTTAGGGTTTGGGCTTAGGGTTTAGGGTTTAGGGTTTACGGTTTAGGGGGTTTAGGGTTTAGGGCTTAGGGTTTACAGTAGGGGTTTACGGTCTACATGAACCAATCCGAAGCCTTGAACCACTCATCTCACCAACGGCCACTGCGAAGGATTTTTCGGCGCTCGACAGGCCCCCCCATAAAACGCACTGCACGAATTATCCTGGAGCCCCGCAACTTAGGCTTTCGGTGTCGGGGCTTTGGCACGAGTATTAACCAGCTCTAGCATTACAAGACGGATAGCCGGACGCTGCTCAGGTGCTGAGGCCTCTGAACTTAAGTGCTATGTCCAGGCCTACGGAATAAGATGTGAGATTTTGAGCTCGAGATTCCAGAAGGTGCTCAGGTTTGGGTGTTGCGACTCGGGTCTAAGAAGTCGGGTGTTCAGCCTGCAGGGAGAAGAGATCCAAGTGTGAGGCCGACATCCCCGTAGAACCGTAGGTACTCACACGAAAAAGCGCCATTCTAAGTACCAAAAAACCCCTAAGACTGTAGTATGAGGCCTTAAGGACTAGAATAGTGTTTTTGGGACATGCTACAAAATCATGAGAGAACCCTAAAAACACAATGGCAAGTACTCCCACCCCTATATTCGCAACCCTATAAACACCTTCTAGAAACCGGTAAGGCCCCATGTTGCATTTGCACATGATAGCCTGCATGACTGAAAGGGTTACAATAACGGTTCTATGATCTAGTGGCCTTAACAACAAAAAAGCGGGTCTCGGGTTACTACTGACTGAGGGCCGCTGTATTGCAATGAAAGCCGGTTTAGGGTTCATGGCTTTGGCATAGGGCTTGGGGGTTCGAGTTTAAAGCCTTTTGATGGGGCTTGAGGGGGAAATCGTAGTCTACATCTCACCTACCCAACGCCTATGCACAAAGCCGCAAGGTTCTGCCTGCAAGCGTGCCTTTGTGCACGAATTCCAGCCTCCTACACCCTTTTTTCAGCAGGCTAAACCGGAAACCCTAAACCATAAAGCCCTAAAGCCCTTGACCCTAAACCATACACTGAATGCCTCAAAGCGCAACCCTTTGGCTATGAACTCAGGGATCCGGTTAAGGGTTAAGGGTTAGGTTTTAAGGGCCTCGGGTGTAGGATTCAGGGTTTAGGGTTGAGGGTACAAAGGGTACGGCTTAGGATTTAGGGTTTAGGGGCTTAGGCTTCGGGGCTTAGGGTTTAGTTTAGGGTTTAGGGCTGAATCAGGGGTGCCTTATTCCGTCCATATTTGGGACCCAGACTCTCTGAAACTTGTTTTTGTCATGCTCGACATTCTTGTCATGCCTGCCATTTTTCTCCTTGCTCTTTTGTCATATCCTCAGTCTTGTCCTCCTTATAATGTTTTCATTATCGTATTATTGCCCCCTAAACCCTAAACCCCAAACCCTAAGCCCGTAAACACTAAACCCTAAACCCTAAACCGTGGAAGGCTGCCCCTCAGCTGCGGAGCAGCTCTGCAAGCGCAGTCCTGCGGAGCTTTGGGGATGTCTTAAGAATGGGGTGTAGGGTTTAGGGTTTAGGGTTTAGGGGTTGGGGATTAAGGGTTAGGGGTTTAGGGTGTAGGTTTAGGGTTTAGGGTTTTAGGGTTTAGGGTGTAGCGTCTGAGGTTTAGGGTGTCGTGTTTAGGCTTTAGGGTTTGTTGAATTTTTAGCAGGGTCTCAAAATTACCTGTCAGATTTTATGCAGGCTTCTTAACATCAGTGGTGCCTTATTTACCGGGCCCTAACGAAGGATCCCACTACTGCGGGTTCTAAGGAACCCCGCCAAAACCCCTGTTCGAACTATGTAGGCCCCTACATTGCAACCCGGAACAAAACCGTTGCAGCCGGAGTTCTGCCGCTCTTCAAGCAGCCACTCGTGCGCCAAGGCCTCCTGGCAGCCGGATCGCTGAGTTGGGAGCTTCTGCAGGGCTTTTAGGGTTTAGGGCTTAGGGTGCAGTAGTTCGGGTTCTACAAGGGCTCTATGCTAGACTCTGTGTGTTTCTTTTCATGGGTGCTACAGGGTTTCATCTGCATGGCTTCCTGCAAGTCGGGATCGCATGTAGGCGGCCCTCGTCTAAACCCTAGGGTGCTTCGTATTAGGGTCGTGGGTTTTGTGGTTTGGGGTCTAGAGTTCGGGGCTTAGGGGTTGCTAACACTCAGACTCGGACCTGTCCAGGAGAGGATTGCGACGGGGTGAACGGGGTTGCTCGTAGGGTTTCCACTCGCCCACTCGCTCAACGCAGGCACGGCTTCGTGAGGTCGGGCTTGGGTTTAGAGGTTCAGGGCTTAGGGTTGCTCCATGAAGCCTCCAGTCGCAAGCTGAAGCCCGCATTTTCAATTGAATCTGCGAACTGCGCTAAGCTCTGTTTGGCAAACACTGACGCCACTGCCATCACCACTACCTTCAGACCTAGAGCCTGCTACCCAGCACACCTCAATCGTGATAAAACTTCGAAGCCCGTACGACCCCCGATATCGCGGCACCCTAAGCAGTGATCGCAAAATCCTCGTCTTACCCACTTGGAGGTTCATGGCTAGTTGGAAGTGGGGTTCTAAGTCCCCGAATGTGAGTTCTAAGCCTAGCTACCTTACTTATAACCCCCCAGTTATACCTGGTGTAGGGGCCTTAATGATAAGAATATGGTTTTGGGGTATATTACACTATACTTATAATAAGGAACCCCCCAGAATAGTATACAGTAGGCAACTATTAATCAGTTATTTAAGCCCCTATATAACCCGTGAACCTCCTAGCAGGCCCCACCTGACAGCTCATCCGCAGCTCTGGCTCGGGCACAAGAAGCCGGCGGATGAAGTCCGTTGCCTTGGACTGCGACAGCCCAAAATCCTCGACTTCAAGACTAATCCTTAATCATAGCGGGGTCTACCTGAGTCTACCTCGAAGGAAAAACCCTTTCTACTCAGATTATGTGTTTGGAGTGCGGGGCTGGTGTGTGTTCGTGTGTTTGTGTGTGACAGGCACTGCCAACTCCTGCTGCCAGGCTGTGCAAAGCACCCAGCGAGTGCAGAACCAAGGAGCTGACAAGGAAACAGCCAGTAGGTTTCAGGTTGGTTCGGGGCTCTTTTAGGCTACGGTCTATGAGGGTCTACGACCTATGGCGTTGCGGGTGCAAGCCCAAGCATATCTTCGATGATTGTCCTAAGCACACCTGAACCTAAACGCCCTAAATCAGGAGCATTGCGGCCCAAGTGGCGTTGGGCGCAGATGAGTCCGGCAAGCAGAAACGCGACTGCAGAATACCTCGAAGCAGTGACATCGATTCTAGAGCTCGGGCTTACTACGAGCTTTGGGTGTTGAGTATTCGGAGATTTGGGGGCATGACATGTGCAGTGTGTTGCCTAGGGTTCGGCTTGATGGGTCCCTTCTTCACTTGCGTAATCCGCATGAAAATGGATATGACGCTCTTGCACTGGTTAAAGCCCTCCGTGAACAGAAAACCTTCGAACAAAGCAGTTAACACAACTGGCCCTGTTCCTGCACACTGCGTTCTCTGACTTTGGGGCTCAGAGTTTAGGGGTTGTTTCATGGAAGACCTATCTAAGATAAAGCTGCGGATACAAAGACCGCCATTCTTAGTCGGAATTTCACTGGCACTCACACAAGGATTGACGAGAACTGCTCCAGTAGACACGACTACCCGGAACCTTTGTCTGGTAACGCATGCCCGCCTTTGCTCAAATAATAGGCT